CCTTCCTTGTATGCACTTTCTGATTTTAAAAATAAGCCAGTGTCCTCATTCTTGACTCCTTCCTCTTCCCTGTCTGGTTTTGGTTAGAATTTGGGTCTGAGAAGGGTTGTGCGAGACTCCGACCTAGACAGTATTTCAAGTCTCCTCCTTCTTGATAATGTTTTCTTGGACCCTTCTAAGGATAACTCTAGAATCTAGACCCCCACCCCTACTGGCTTTTTCTCCTATTCCTCTTTCTTTAAAGTGCTTTGCCAACCCTCCAATCCTGTAACCCCCCCTTCCTTGTTAATGAGGTTTGGTGTAGACCAATTCCTCCTAAGGTTGGTAATTTTTGTTGGGAAGCCTTTTGGAAAGATTCAACACTGGTAATCTGCTCCAAAAGAAGAGACCCAATGCTTGTTTGTTCCCTCATTGGTGTGTAATGTTGATAGGGAGACCGGTTTTCATCTTCTAGTATCTTGCCAATTTGCAAAGTCTATTTGGGAGTGGGCTTTATCTCTTTTTGGGTGTACTTGGATCCCGCCATCAAATTTGCAAAGCCTTTTTTGCTCCTTTTTTTAGGTGGCATACAAAAAGGGGAAGGACTATGTGGAGAGGACTGAGGGCAGCAATATGCTGGTCTTTGTGGGAAGAAAGAAATTCCAAAATCTTTTCTGATGTAAAGAGAGGGGCTGGAGAATTGAGGGCCCTGATCCACATAAGGGTTATTCAGTGGATGAAGTCCCTAGAGCTGTTCACAGAATATTCAGTAGATGACTTACTAAGGAAGTGGGGCGAGATTGCTAGCTGTCCCAGATTAAAATAGGGAGGAGTGTGTCTTGGACTCCCCCACCTGTGGGTTTCATGAAACTAAACTTTGAAGGAAGTAGCAAAGGGAACCCCAGACAATCAGGGATTGGGAGTGTCTTCAGGGATGAGAATGGGGTTGTTTTTGCCATGTTTCCAGGCCCAATTGGTGTGGGTGACTCTCTCATAGCTGAGATCCACGCAGTTTTGGAAGGTCCAGAAAGCTAGGGAGATGAAAATTAGAAAACTTATAATTGAAGGGGACTCGGAGGTGGTAGTTGGGTGGCTGAACAAAGAAGACAGCAGCTTATGGAGTTATAGTAATTTGGAGAAAAAATTCAAATGGCTGGTTCGAGAAATCGAAGTTAAAATCACTTGGGTAAATAGGTCAGATAATTCTTTTGCTGATGGGCTAGCTAAACAAAGGGTGGACAAGGATGTCATGTTCTGGACAAAGGTGTGATTTACTTTTCTTCTTTTTCTGTTCTCTCTTTCTCTCTTGTTTCCTCTTTTGGGGCTCTTGATGTAGCTGGAAGATGAGAAATTTGTCTTCCTCTGTAATTATTGTGATAATTAATGAATTAATGAATTGTGTTATTGATCAAAAAAAATTATTTATATTCATCTCCTTAGCCCAATGTAGTCCTTAGAGTGCCACAAGGTGTTCAGCTCCTGTTGACTCTCCTCCTAATGGTCCTGAGAATAAAGCAATGATATTTCCTTCCAGATTTCAGAATACTCCCCCCATACCTGATGGTCCCAGACTGCAAAAACCGCCGCCATCAAACTCTTAGCTTTATAAAACCCTCCTCAAGTGGAGTCCATTGTTTATGGATTTTCAACTTCCTTTGAAGAGGAAGCAGCCACGTATCCCCATCTCCTCCACAAATTATAATAAGAAGAAAATAGTTTCAAAGATTGTACCTAATGCACCACTCTAGCTATCATGCATTCAAATAAGGCATGCAAGCTTCTCTCCTCTTCCTTAAAAATTTTTGCATTTCTCTCTTCCCAAATTGTCCACAAAACTACTACCCTTGGGCATCTCCATAGAATTCTTCCTCTTTTTCTTGGCCACCTAAATGTTTCTACATTGAATAGCATGGGCAAATTTGAGGGCTCCATCCACCTACATGCAAAGAGAGAAAAACCTTTCCAAATACACACAACAAAAGGACAAGAGATTAGTAAATGGTAACAACTCTCATCAGCCACCTTACAAAGCTTGCACCAATTAGGGGACAAACAGCAATTTGGTCTTTTCTTTTGTAAGAAGTACAAAGTGAAAGTGTTAATCTTTGCATGGTAAACTTCCTAACAGAAAGCCCCAATTATTGGAGGAATAGGTCTGCCCCACACTTTTTCGACAGGGAAAGACAATTGAGGGAAAAGGGAAGGGCTGGGGGGTTTGAAAATTGAGGCACAAGTAACGAAGCCAAGGGGTAAGGAACCCAAATCCTGCTATCTGGTTGTGAAGGGTTTAGTCTGACTTCATCTAAAATTTTCAACAAATCAATTACACCGATGGTTTCATTATCCCTCAGCCCTCTACAAAATCCCATATCCCATTCTTGACTCGACAATGATGAGGATAATGAGGATGACAGAAATTTAGAAATTGGTTCGTTTTTTAAGCTAGAAATGGCATACAAAGATGGAAACAAATCTTTGAGAGTAGAGCTGCCCACTCAGAGGTCTTTCCAAAAAAGAATTTTATTGCCAAAACAAGCAGCATACCTGACAAAGTTTAGGAAATCTAAGAGTATGCCATGTATAGAATTCAAAGGAGAAATCAAGGTAGCCCGTCGTGATTAGACCTGTTCATGGGCCCGGACGGGCTTGAACAGGTATATGGACCTCGCGGGCTTAACCTACCTCGAGCCAAAAAGCCCGGCCCGCAATAAATTCGAGCAGGGCACGGGATTTGCCAAAATAGCCCGACCCGAGCCCGGCCCGGCCTAAAATTAAACCTAAAAACCCTAGTCGAATACCCCCCTCTTTTTTTACCTCTTTGCCTCTTTCCCTTCTTTTTCCAGCCGAACCCTTCTTCTCCAATCTCCACATCCTCCACACTCCACAGTGAGGCGGCGAACGTTCACCGACGGCGACGGTGAGTTCTCTCTCTCTCTCTCTCTCTCTCTCTCTCTCTCATTATCACTGGTCAGTGATCACTGTCAAAACCCGAGTTGCTGAAACCAGTCCTCGATTTCAAACCACAAATAACAGTACCCAAGAAGCTTTGCAAGCTCAAAAGTTCAGTGAGAGCCTCAGCCAGTTGAATTCCTCTAAATTGGATTCTTCGTCGTCGAAAGACAACGGAAATGATCTCAACGCCATTGCCTACACGGGAAACGACTGGAAGGAGAAGAAGAAGATGATGATGATGATGTCGAAAGACTGCCAAGGATTTAAGAGGGGTCAACAGAGCTGGAAGTCGAAGATTAGAGAGTTCGTGGACTCGCAGATGAGGAAGTTAATGGAGACGCAAGAGGCCTGGCTGGAGAAAATGTTGAAGACCTTAGAACACAAGGAACACGAGAGGATGTCCAGGGAGGAAGAATGGAGGAGGCAGGAGGCAGCCCGATTGGATAGAGAACAGAAGTTCTGGGCTAAGGAGCGAGCTTGGATTGAAGCTTGAGATGCTACATTAATGGAAGCCTTGAGGAAGTTTACGGGAAGAGAACTAAAGAGATCTTTCACTGAAGAGCCGGTGGCCCCAAACCTCCACGATAACAGTGAAAACCAAAATGAGAATGTAAGTGAAACGCTTGATAGCACCATGAACAGTAATAGATGGCCCGAACAGAGAAAAATTCTAAATTTTTTTATTAGGTCGGGCTTCGGGCTTTTTATCAGGGTCGGGCTCGAGCCCAAGTTATAGGCCCGTTGGTCGGGTCGGGCTCGGGCTCGGGCCTAACATATTTCCATTAATGAAGAGTAAAAGCCCGGCCCAACCCGGCCCATGAACAGGTCTAGTCGTGATATACCTGCATCCCATCCACTGGCTGTCAATCCATGAATGCTCATTATAACCTTGCACCAAAGTCTTTCTTTATCTACAGGAAACCTTCATAACCACTTTCCCACAAAGAATGATTCTTGATTAGCTCACCAATCCCCAACCCGCCCTAGCACTTTTACAAACTACCTCCCAATTCACCAAGGCTGTCTTTGAGCAGGTTCCCCCTACCTTTTCTTTCAAACCAAACACAACTTAAGTGATCCTTCTTCTATCTCCCATAAAAACTCCTTCATTAGCTTTCATGGCCTTGGCTAGGCTTTGTTTGGTTCTAAATGTAGTGTTTGGTCTTGGTGTGTTATAGGTATTTTGTGCTTGTTGGGTTTGGTCGCTTTGTTCGTGGTTTGTTTTGGTTGAGATAGCTCCCTTGTCTTGAGTGTAGGCCCCTCCATATACACCTTGTAGACTTTTTTCTTTTTTCTTTTTCCTTTATAATAAAACTTACCTTATCCTCTTCAAAACAAAAAGTTAAGTTTACCCTACCCCACCAACGAGATGTAGTTTCTTTTCCAAGAAATCAATTTCTTTTTCACCTTCTCTAGGACTCTAGGATAGGATTCCAAAATTACTTGCCTTTGGATTAGCCCCTAGTGGAAGCCCTAGGTAATTTGTAGGGCATAGACTAATAGAACAACCTAGAATTCCAGCAAAGGCTCTTAATTCACCTTCCCCCACATTAATTCTCAGTTTCTCACTAGGCAACTCTTGGCAAAATTTATCCTAGGGTTGGACATCCTCTCAAAAAGCCTCACCAGTCACCACCAATCTCAAATTCCTCAACCGTCGGTAATCACCATTAGCAAATTGGAGGTATGTGACTACCACTCCTTCCCTACCCACCCTCCACCCCTTAAATAACTGTACTCTATCGGCTGTAGAAATTAACCTGTTCAGCACATCTGCTACCAGAGCAAAGAGAATGTGCAAAAGTGGGTTCCCTTGTCTAAGTCCCCTAGAGAGGTGGGATGCTTATGTAAAGTTTTCATCGTTTCATGTTAAACAATAACTAACGATAACGAATGCCAAAAATGAAACAAAACCTTATTTTATGAATGTACGAGAATCCATGAATGCATTGTAACAAAAAAAATCTAAAATTCTCTTGAAAGAAGATAAAATTTAACCAAAACATTAAACATATAGGCCATTCCAAAGATATATTGAATTGAATCTATCTTATAGGGTTTTGAGTGACCTGAAAGATGATAATGCCGATCAGAGCTATGAGGATGAAGAAAGACAAGAGCCACGAGAGAATACTCCAATCCATGCCACCGCCTCTTCCCTCTCCTTTTGCTTTCGGTGGCCCGTTTATACCAGCCAAGCACAGACGCTAGCGCAGAACAACACACTGCACTCCCAATCACAGGACCCACGTCAGCGCTGCACCATGTGAGAGTCGCACATCTCCGAGGAATTTGACGACGTTAAAGACGTCCTTCTCTTATTTTTATTAAATTGGCAAATACATTAAGAGGAAAAAATAAGCGGCAGCTCAATAATTTGAAGTCTTGCATGAAAGAAACAATTAGAATCCTCTGTACAGGAGGAGAGAATCGTGAAATACATCTTTTGGGTCGTGGAGAGGGGAGACGAAGCGTCAATACCTGAAAGCAGCCGTCGGTTTGCTAGTGCATAAGTGTTGTCTCCCTCAGCTCTCCTTGGAATGAAAGAGTCGACGATGTTATTATCTAAGAGAAACTAACAAAAGGCAGAGAGAAACTGAGGGAAGGGGAGAGAGAGAGAGAGAGAGAGAGAAACGATTAATGCAAGGTATGAAATCAACCAAAAAGGGGGAAAGAGGGGGAATGGGGGAAATGAAAAGATATAGGGTTTGTAGGGGAGGGAAGATGAACCTAGTAGTTGCCATCGGTATCCAGAGAATTGATTTGCAGTGTGATGCTGTCGATATCTGGTGCGGGGGAGATGTTGTAGAGCATGTCGGGCAGAAATCCTCTTCCTGAGGATGATCACACGGTCGATACAAAAACTTAGGACGAGGAAGGAGGAAGAGAAGAAAACCCGTCTCAACTCTCAACTGGGCGGACAAGCTGCGACCTTTTGTTTTTTTGTTTTTTTGTTTTTTTGTTTTTATGTTTTTTAATGTAGTACTGTACTGATCATCCCCGTACAACACACGGGTTTTGTCAGGCATCATTTCTGGAGTCGGATCTCCTAAACTAAAAGCAAACTCTACACATGGCACCCGGTCGCACGTTGCGAATATCATTTTACTTATATTAAATTGATGGATGCTCCCGATCTGCGGCTGGATGCCGGTGTTTTTCAGTCTGTGTAGAGATTCTGCTTTTAAGAGATCCTGCTAGGTTTTGTGTGAAGTACTTCTTTTCTTTTTAGTAGAAAGAAGCTTAGAAGTACTTAAACCTCCCAACTTTCTTCTAAATGCTGAAACCTTTTGAAAATGGGTTAGGACTTGCGAGTTAGGACCACCTTTCTTAGAGTTACAGTTATGGCAAATGGAACTGCAAAAAGACTTTTATCTTTACTATTGTTTAAATTTTTCAAGAAGGTGGAATCGTATCAATGCAAACAAGGTTCAATACGTAGGACTTGAACTGTACAAGATTCAAAATTTCGAACCAGTGAGTGGTGAGTGCATTGAGACTCTTAAACTTTATTTAACGTACGTAATTGCTTTCCATGGATTATCGACCGCCATAGGCTGAATCTTAGGTAATGTTTGGGAGTGTTTATATTAAATATAAGTGCTTATTATATAAATGCTTAGAATAAGGTATGCAAAAACCTTCATAAATTGGATACCGGATCCTATTAGTTTGAAGAATAAATTCTAGAATCAGCAAGGATCCTATAAGTTTGAAACATGAATTTTAGGGGGTGTTTTATAGCATAGATGAGAAATTGTGGTGTGGATGAAAACACGCCCAACCCTCAATAAGGTAGTTATTCTGCATCGTAGACAAAGATGTGTGCATTGAACCACACTACACTTCTGTACGCGTTTTCAGTCCATACCTTGTGTTATGATTCCATGCATCTTAGTTACAACATGGGTTAACACACGATAAAACAATAATGGGAAATTGGGAATGCTTCTCCCAAAATTCAGTTAATTTTATGATAGTAGGTGAATAAATTCTTACCAATGGTGACGACAATTGTTGTTGCAACAGATAACAATGGTAGGGGTGCAAATGGATCATTTCATGATATGATTCGATCCAATCCAATTCGAGATATTATCATATTTGGTTGAATTCGGATCACCCCTATTTGGATCTTCGAGTCAGATAATAGGATCCAATTAGAAATCAAATCGAATTTAGATCACCCCCATTTGACCTGAGAAGATTCGATCTGATAGTTATATATTTTTTATGTAAGTATATATAATACATATATATATGTTATTTATTTATTTATAAATATATTATTTATATTGGTATATTTTATTTTTCTTTTAATAATTTATTATTTTTTAAAGAAAACAAATCAGATCGAATTAGATCTGAATATCCGACTTCCTGATCGGATTTGAATTCAAATCCTCGCCTATCAGATTCGATCGGATCGAATATATAATGAACAATGTCAGATCGGATTCGAATATACCTTGATTTGAATTTGATTTGATCAGTTTGCATCCCTAAGGGCAGGAAATGGTGAACAATGGCGAGCTTCTACCTAGCAACGAATTAGTAGCACAAACCAAACGGTAATGACCAATGAAACCAAACGGTAAAAGGGAAATATTTTACAAAAAAAAATAAAAACAAAACGACGATGGAAGAAGGAGATGAATCACTTACATCTGACAATCTAATGATGCAATGGTGTTCGGAGTAGTAACAGTGCCTGACGTGAGATAGAGAGGTAGTAGACGCGAGATTCACAATGACGAGCCCTAAATACAACGATAATATGTTGAGAGTAGTGCAAAGCATGGGAAGACACACTATAGAGTAGTGTGAAGCATGAAAATAGATTGGAGATAAATGTCCACGATAGCAATGGACTATCCACGAGAAATAACCATGGACGATTTTTTGCCTTATGGTGTAGACCAATCCACGATATAGTGTGGTTTGGTCTACACCACAGTGCAACCAAACCACTAGCCTTGGGGTGGCGTGTTTGAAAACGCAATATCTCATGGTGCATCCACACCACCTAACACCACCTTAGTGATCCTTCATGCATAGAATACTTAAACTTCTAACTTTAATTGGACAATCAGTCAATCAATATAGTCGACTAGACTTGTTTATGGGCCAGATGGCTTGATGGGCCCAACCTAGCTTGTTCTAAATCGGCCTTAGGTAAAGTTTATGCTTATGGGCTCAGGCTCGATCTCTAAACAATGGGCCTGACTATTTTTTGGAGTTAGACTCGACTTTTCCAAATAAGTTCGACATGAGCCTGAGCCCATTATATATATATATTAATAGTGAAAAAATGATATATATAGAATATTATATAACATATAATACATAATTAATATAATATAACATATCTATCCAAATTGAGCTTTGGGCTTTATATATGGTCAGGCTTAGGCTAAATCAAGGTCATTTTCAATTTATGAAGAGACAGCTCGGCCATGAATAGATCTAGTAACAACACATAGTAAGATGCAGACTCTTGATATTTTAATGGCAAAAGAATTTTAGAGGTTGACAAAAAAAACAAAGTTATTGCATTATCAATAATTTGTGGCTGGTTGAATCTCATGCATGGGCTTCATTTCTAAATGAATATGAGGTGTTATTATGTTGTTACCAATAAAAATCAATCTTCCTGTAAAATATTTAAAACTTGAATTTGAGAAAGTGAATGCCGCTTGACATAATTTTTCAAAACATGCAAATATTTTGTTTACACGCTAGTAACATTAGTTAATTTATATGTTAAGATTATATTAATGTACTAACAGCCCTTGTGCGATGCATAGAAAAATGATGTTAAGGCTTATTGGGCTTAAAACTTATTGCTCTATGGAGCTACACAATCGGAGGGTAGTGATGGCAATTTCCCCCATCCCCACCGAGTACCTGGCCTCCCCAACCAAGCAAGGATGGGGATAAAGACTGCCTTAGCAAGGACAGGGTGGGGATGGAACTAATAAGAATACCCAATTGGGGAGTGAAGTTCAAATCCCGCCCCAACCCCGATTATATTAACTAAATATATAATATTATTTATGTTATTTATAATATTATATATATATGAAAATGTATTTAAACTATTGTTTGCATTTTAATTTTTCCTTTTTTAAATAAATACCTTTCTGAAAAAAAAGTTTAATTAAAAGGTCGGGGATTCAGGTCCCCGATGGGCAACCCATCTCTGTTAGGGACCAGGGATGTAGGCTAAATTTTTTCCTAATGGGGATTGGGGTTAGAGATGCGGATTAATTTAAAACTTGGGGTTGGGATAAATGGGGAGTATGATCGCTGCCCCGAACCCACCCATTGTCATTCCTACCCGAGGGGTCATCTCCAAACACACAAATATAGTTCCAATAGTTATGGTAATTATAAATGTAGTATCCAATACTTGTGGGAATTACTAAAATTTTCTAATTATTTATTTTAATAATTGGAAGTTTTATAATTTAACTTTCACTAAATCAAATTACCAAAATCAGTAATTAAATTACGAAAATCATTAATTATTGCTCAAAAAGTATAGTAAATATCACAATTGCTAAAAATATAAAAAATAAATTTATATTTATTGAAAATCATTTTCCACTAAAAAATTACTGAAAATTTTTAATTATTATCCGATAAGACCATTAAATATTAATAAATTAAGCAAAATTACTGAAAATATCAATAACTACTAATTGCTAAAAAATTAATGATAATATAAAAATTACTAAAAATGTAAAAAAAATATTCTTATATTTATTGAAATAATTTTCTAATGAAACATTATCAATATTTTTAATTATTAATTTTTTATTTATTAATATTATAATTAATTATTAAATTTTCAATAATTATTGGCTTTAATAATTAATTTCCAATTTTGTTTTGAAATTAAATTACCAAAATCAGTAATTTTTAGATATTAAATTTTCCAATTTACCAAAATTACAAAAAAAATATAATTTAGGTGTTGATATTTACTGAATAATATTCAATAATATCAGTAATTATTGAAAATATCAAAAATATTTCACAAATTAGTTTAACTACCCAAATTAATTTAACCATGTTTATGGTTTTTAGATGGTTTATTGAGAATGTAATATAGATTAAGAGGTATTTTATGAGGAATTTTAGGTGGAAAAGATAGTTTATGAGGAATTTTAGGAGGGGATTGGCTACGTGATTGGGAACATGAGAGAGAGAGAGAGAGAGAGAAGGGGGAGGGAAAGAGAGTTGGAGTGGGAATCTAGTGAAGAAGAGATGGCTGCCATGTGGCTACATGGAAGGGTTGGGAAGGGGTAAAGGAGAAAGGAGAGAGCATTAAGGAGAAATGAGGAAGGGGGGATGGGAGAAGGAGATGGTTGTCGACGTGGCCTATATTGCTATATAATATAGTATAGATTTATATTATTTATATCTTAATTTAAAAATATCAATATATCCATAACCATATTTATACTTACATATTATAAGTTTTATGTGTGTATATTGTAGGTAGTTTATTTTTATTACTCAATAATACATCATATCATAAATTAAGTCCACAAACCATCCACATAAGCTATAATTACAACAAAGCCTACATGCTAGCATAATTGACTTTGTTAATATGAGAGTTATGTGATGATATATGCTATGTATTTATGTATTGATGAGATAAACATTGTAATCCTATTTGTAACTATATTTACCCATAGGAATTTAAACACACTAATCAATTGTATAATTTGGACATTTAATTCCTATTCAAACCCTTCTATAAGTTGGTATTAAAGCCAATGACTCATATGGCCTCTTTTGGGAATTTTGTCTCTTCAATCTCCTTCTTCTCTATCCTCTTCCATCCAACCCAGGTCTCTATTATAAACCTCCCCGACCTCATCACCATTAAACTTGAAAAACACAACTTTTTGC